AGCTTCAAAGACGCTGACCTTGCGTTAGAAACTCTAACAATGCTATAAACAGCTCCGCTGTATCCGAGCTAAATCCCGGATTCGGTTGTTGTGATTTCTCGGCTTTTAAGTAATTCCTGCTAAAACAACAACCACGAGAATGATAATATTGTAAGAGATTTCTGCGGCTCAGGCCAGGTTGAAAGGTGGATCGCATGCACAGTATCATAAACGCTGCCTTTGATGAGAACATTTAAAAGTGATATGACAGGTCTTTGAGACCTTTGGGACACTTGTTCAGGGTGACTAGGTATTACACTCGAAATTGTGTAACCATGGAATTGGTCAAATTAGCGATCACTAGGGAGCAAGGATCACCGTTCCCATAATTCCTTGAGTGCGGGCCGGGGCGCTTGGGAGAATTGTAGACAATAAAAAGATATAAAGTGCTGATTTCAGGCTGACCAGATCTCGAATTTCCATACTTAGCCAGATCTCGTATTTCCATACCTAGCCAGGAATATTAGACTATATCTGGCAGATATACCATATCAGGTTATATGTGGCCACTTTTTTTATGGCCATGTCTGAAATATTCATATATGGTCAGATATAAATGTTTCTAAGGGGTGGCTTTTTTTTCGGTGTGGCTTGTACACTCTCTCAGGAGTTGTTTAAAACAAAGATTTGCTTTCCTTTCGCTAATGCTTGTGAAAGGAAATCAAATCTGAAAGCCACGCGTTCGCGCTTGTGCTTCTGACTCTGCTAACTCGATGAGATGGATGTGACCAACACGAGCAAGCGAGGTCCGTGCAGGGTTCTCATATAACGTCGTCAGTTTAAAAGCGACGAATACTGAACACTACTCAATTAAAGCTCCAGTGATAACGATCCTAATAAATTCTACCTATAATCATTATACTTAGCTACCGGGAAAAGAGGTCTCCGGCGCGGTAGGAAGTTTCACATATTTCAATGTCATTGGTCTCGCTTTTTTCGGCGACATTTACATCTCATTACAAGCACTTCTGAAAGCTAAATTAGTAAGATATCTAAAATAGTCGTCCGTCCAATGTGAATTCCTCAATATTCAAACGCACCGTTGTACAAAATTTACATATTTCATGGGCGCGTTCTCGCTTCAATCTCGCTTTTGCGCCTTTGGGCCATGCCCGAAAACATGTTAGATTGCTGAATGGGAACCAGTCTTGTCATCTGCGATGCCGAGCAGACCGGAATAATCATTTTCGAGACTCTGGGGACTGACTAACATCAAAGGACGTCGTGGAATACGATCGCCGTCTCGTTATTCACCCTCCTCCCCCCATTTATTAATAAAAGATTTCGGCGTTCACAGTAGACCAGTGGACATGCTCTTTGATCTCTTCGCTTGTGAGTTGGCTGTCCCTGTGAGGAATAGAAAACCTCCGCCCGAATAAATTAGTTACAAGCACAATCTGTGCTTGTCAGAGACCATGGAAAAAAGGTATGTGATTTCTCTTGGCTCTTGTTGCCTAGCCCTTAAAAAACAACAAATGCTCCCCTAAAATCAAACAAATATAAATACCTGACTTCAAACCACAATGTTTCACAAAAAAAAAAGAAAAAAAAATAAGTTTCTAAATTTTTTGCAAAGCTCAGGAGAGCCTATCGCTGCATTTTACGGGGAAAGGGGAGGGGGGGGGGGGGGGGAACAAGAAATATGTTTTCATGTGGAACCGTGGCATGAATGAAAAACATTAAACAATTTAGAAAAAAAAGAATGCATGTGAAAACATTGGTCAACACAAAAACATAAAACGTTGGCATACACAAAACATAGCACTTCTGCGCGCGCTTAGCCAAAGCACGACGGAAGGCAGTGAGCACATGCTGGACGAGGAGCATATTCTCCCGCAAATCTTACGTTGCAACAGACTACAGTGCTACAGTCATACGGTTTTGCCTCAGTATTTTCGTTTCTCTTATATTTCTCCCATTCTCTCGCTTCTAATCATTAGTGACCCTACAGTATCTCGGCACCCGTCCTCGTTGTTTTTCCAGTGTTAGGCAAGACCGAATAAGGATCGTTTTCTCTTTTTGCGGGTCTCCCGGCACGCTTCTCCCTAATTCCCCATGATTCCGTGTCGTTGCGCAGTAGCCATTAAGAGGATCTGCGGGGTTGCGACTATTTTTTCCCCAGAAGTCGTCCCCACGCAAAATAGCAAAAGCAAAAGAGAAAAGAAAGCAATAAATAAATAAATAAATAAATAAATAAATAAAACGAAACTTTATAAAGACAGGCCTTTTACGTTGAAGTAATGCAATATCTAAAAAGAGGAAAATTATTAAAAAATGACACCCGTGGGCTGTGAAGCGAGGAAGTGGCCCCACCGAAAGCAGGAGTGAACGACAGCCGGGTCTAAAGGTCGGTGGAGAAAAAGACGAAGAGAAGACAGAAGGCGAAATAGATATTTAAAAAAAAAGGCATAAAGCAAAATAGAGAAGGACCAAGCTAATGTTAGGAATTAAGAGAGAAGGGAAGGAATGAGGGACCTACACACTCAAGACTCTGAACATGGAGCGGATGCCTTAAACAGGGGAAGAGACATGAGATATAGAGAAGAGCGAAGAAACAAACACCTTATTAGGCACACAACAAAAGAGAGCCCAGAAAAAGGAAAGCAGAAAGACAAACGCAGACCGGCAAACGGTTAAACCGTTGATCAAATAATATAAAGAGCGAAAAGAATGAACTTACGCGACAAGTGGTAAAATAAAGGCTGAGCTCCAAGGAGCGAATATGCGGCTAGGAACCGACGAACCTCGCACAGCGGCGCGTTCGCTTTGAGCGTGGCGCAACAGCAGCTCTTCTGACACCACGTGCAGGGAGAACGCCGCCGGGCAAAATTCGACGTTTCTTTTTTTGGTGAAGAACGGGGATAAGATGGGGAGAGAGCGACAGAAACAAGCAAGTACTACACACAAAGTTGAAGTAGAATGAAAACAGAGACAATAAAAGCTGGCTGGAACGAGAGCTTCGGCGGTTTTTCTACCTACCCAACAAGCTTTTTTTTTTTTGGAATACCCGGGATTCACTATTTGGGGCGTGCTATTTATTATCTTTTAGTTTGAAATAGTCATCGAGAAAACGGCAAATAACGATGATGTCAAAATCAACGCCAAAAATTTTTTCCTGCTTTCCAGTGGGACAAAGTCGCATGTTGAAAAAAAATGAAGATCAAACAAGCACTGCATAAAAAAAAATGGGTAGGTTGCGAATTTTTATTGTTTTTCTGGAGTGAGCTTCGACAGCTCTCATTTCACACCATCAAACGTCTTGTGAGCCGTCAACAACAAGTTGAACTGCCTAAACTACAACATATGTCGTCACGTTGTTAGTGTTGTTAATAGGATCTTTCAGTAAGGGGGAAAAATGAAAGACGTTTACGATTCTCTGTAATGCCGAATTAGAGCGCAGCACTTGAGGAGGAGGAGGAGAGGGCATGTCCCTGCTCCCTCTACTCCTCTCCTGCTCCCCTCCCTAATTGAAAATGTTCGCTAAATTGCCCTCTAAATTAAGCGGAAATTTCCCCGCTAAATATAGCGGGGAAGCTGAATTGTTTTTGAGGTCACGTGACGTCCCTTTCCTCCCTAAATTTGGTGCAATATTTCCTCGCTAAATTTAGCAAAAAAATTTGCCGCCAAATTTTGCTGAAAACTTTCACCCTCGTCACATCAAACGTGACGTCAGTGTGGCGTCATTATGGGAAGCGCCCCACAATGCAACGTGCGGTTACGCCGACGGCGACAGCAACGCCGACGCCCCGACGCCGCTCAACCCGGAAACATAAGCCTAAAGGACCATTCAAACTCTTGCAACCGAGTACGACCGAGAGAGACGAGACTTGTCAGAACCTCTTAAAATTTCTTAAGACGAGAGAACACACTGGCACGCTGGCGCCATCTATGCGGTGACCCTGGAACTGCATTTCACAAGAGCGAAGGTTTTGCGGTATTTCCGAGGTCAAATGTGCGTAATACCTATAAGAAAGGCTCGTTTATAACGTCGGCAAACGTTTTTCGAGCCAAGAAAAAAAGGATAATGCGCGAGAGAAACAGAAAATATGCCGGACCGCCAAGTTTACACTGCAACCCAATAAATGGCGCCAGTGTGTCCTCTCGTTGTGAGAGGTTTCAAGGGAAGGAACCCAGTTTTAAGAGGTCGCAAGAGTGCGAACGGGCCTTAAGAGCTGAGCTCTATAAAAAGAAACTGAATACTAAATTTTAGAGCTAACTTGGTGAAAAACATCATTTTTTACCTATAATTTGGGTTACTATAGATCAGCCGTGTCGTTGCAGAGTCCAAATCGTCTGCTTCCGTGACGTCAGAAGGACGCCGATCACTGATTGGCTTTTATTGTAAGGATCAGGCACGTAGCCAGGATTTTGTATCGGGGGGGGGGGGGGGGGGGGGGGGGGGAGGCGCCCATGACAAAATGCTGTATGAGGGGGAGGGGGGGAAAGGAGGTCTCAGCAAAATGGAAGACTTCGGGGAGGGGGGGAGGGGGGGGCAGGCCCTCCCTGGCTACGTGCCTGGTAAGGATAATGGGTAGACCTCATTGAGGTCTATCCCCTATTTCTTCAAGACGCCAATAGAGCACGGCGTTCTGTCGTCATCGCAACCGATGTGCAAGAAGCACACGAACTTGCGCTTCGCATTGACGTGCTGAACCAACCTCGAGGCAATCAAGCGGCCTAACACAGAAGATAAAAGGGACAGCGATATCCAACATTTTATGCAATCTTGTGCGCAGCAAGGACGAGAACAAAAGGGATAACAGGACACAAAAAGGCGCCTTGTTGTGTACTGTTCTCCCTTTTGCCGTCGTCCTTGCTGCGCACAAGATTGCATAAGATGTCAAACCAACTCGCCCAAACCACCACTCTTGAATCCAACAACAGTACGTAAGAGAGTCAAGCCTCGACATAGAAAAAGAAAAAGAAAGAGAGAGCTGGTGCAAGACACGGCCCCATGTTACCTGTCGCAGAGCATCCTTGCAGCCACAGCAGGCCGAGCAGGAGCGCAGCAGAGGCGATGGCGTGATGCGCCGCCCAGGCCGTGCCGGCGCCGGTCATCGTACTCCTTGCCTGAGCCGCCGCCAACCATTAGAGGAGGCCACCGAAAAACAGAAAAAGGAGAGAACGAGTAAACTCGGTGAGTTGTCGCGAAGTTCCCGTCCGGTCAACGACTTTATTTTTCATTGTTTCGTTTTCCCCCTATAGTAAAGCATGGATTCAAATTTTAGCGGAAGCTAAGTCTCGGCGCCGTGTTTTGTGAAATTGGCATGTGTATAAATGAGAACGGAAGGAAAGTATTTCCAAATGTCCCGCGTCCAGAGCGCGCGCTTCCCGACTTCGATAATACTTGGGCTCGTCTCGTACAGTTGGGTCGTGCACCCGCAGAGCATACGTGGCGGAAGGCAGCGATCGAGGGTACGCTGGAGGATATAGGGGCGCCCGAGAGAGACACGCCGTGGCGTTTTTAGCCTTTCCGCTTGACAATCATAAACGAGAATTAGATTTTGAGCGGGACGCGTGTCAGGTTGGTACTAACTTTCGTTCGGCAACTAAGAAGAATCCCCGTAAGTTGCCCGGATTATATAAGAGAAAACAAATGTTAGAGAGCTTATCAACAGTGAAAAACAAGAGATTCGAAGGAATCGGGATTAGGACATCCCCAACTTTCTGGGACATCCCTCCCTCGGCGTTCCTCCGATAAATGCGCAAAAATGATAATTTGAACCGAACAGCAACAAATGATCGCAATGTTCCCCGTCGGAACATTTTAGATCACAGTCGTAAAATATCAGTTTGGCTTTCGCATTCGAGCGCGTGACAAAAGATCGTAATGTTGACGTGGACTATAATTGCATGAGTGTCATAGAACGCAAACCATTTTAGAATTTCGATATCTCCTAAAAAAAAAAAAAAAAGATCTATTATTCCATGTCTCAGAACGTTGGCCATGGAAGTCAAGATGGCGCCAGGTTTATCTACAGCAAACAACATTCTCTAAGACAAATCTGCAGCTTCTCGCCACAAGTGACAGCGACTGCTATTGCTGCGCCGCACTCACTTTTAGGCATATCCACTTTCTAATCAATTCGATCGTACAAAACGCAACGGTCACCAGTGCATGTATACCACACTGCACAAATGAGTCAACATATCTACCCAGAAAAGAACAAAACACGCTAGAGAATAAATAAACGCAGACGCAAACATGCAAGTACATGCAACACACGCAAACACTCGCACAAGCACGATAACAAAGATTGGCGAGGAAACGTATACCTTGAGAAATATATGTACAACCAGCTCATACACCTTTTCCACAAGGGCGCAGCCATCTTGAATGTCGTCACTTTTGGCATGCAGTAAAGCATCGTTTTGATCTCTCCATACCGCTGGAAGGCGTTTAGGATAAATGCGCGAGTGTCGTACATTCTTGTTTTGCCCCACGTATATTTTCTTGAGTATTCCATGCTGAAAAGTTTGAATATTTCTTTTTTTCCTCATACCAGACGCCGAACCCACGTGACTGAGAACGACAGGAAACAAAAAACGTCTATACTTATAGCTCCGGGGAGTGGAAGCTCGCAAAATGGGACAAAATATGGGTATGTAAGTGTGATCACAGGAGTGCAGAAAGATATGGCGGGCCTCACTTCCCAAATGATTTGTTCGGCAACAATTATTTCGGTTCCAGCTCCGCAGACATTGACCTCATGTCGAGACTTGAGGGCTAACGACACGCCGAAACTCAACAGACCCTCTTTCGAAAGTGTGCGCAATCTAGTAGCAGCTGAGTAAATTATTCGAATCCGTCATTGTTCGACTACCTACTCCGAGCTCGTATTGGCATATAGGTATTGGCATAGCCTGGCAGTTTGACGACGAAGCCATAAAGTGCCCGATCGCAGATTTGCAGCGCGAGGGTCTGGTCGCACAGAGCATCAAAGACCCATTTCTCGGGGAACCTCAACGTCAGCACGCAGCTTTTGCAGCGGAGAGGAAGGACCCGAAACACACTTGTTCGCTCAGGAGAAGTGTGTTTCGGCGTCTCGCCGCAGCGGGCCGCCAGTCGCGTGGTTCTCCTCTCATCCGTTGTCCGCCACTCCCCCTTTGCCATTTCGGCGGCCGCTTCTCGTGGCGGTCTGCTAGGCTTTGTCAGTATAGAGGAGGCTATGGTATTGTACATGAGTGGCGCGTCAGCGTTCTGCGAGGGCTCGGATCCAATCACAGGCGTCGTATCCAAGAAAGGGCGGCCGCCAGTGTTGCTCGATGGTTTCTTAGAAAGGACCCTTTGACGCGATACGTTATTTTGGTACGTACCGACATACTGGTTGTCTACATAATATATTTACGCTATTTACGGGAGACGGGAAAGCGCGTTGTAGGTTGCGGCACATCACCGAATCGTGGAATCTTTGCGCGTGAGGTTTCCATCCGCGCCGCTTCTCGCGTGAATCCGACTTTTCCTCGTCCTTTGCCTGTATAGCAAAATAGAAAAAAAAAAAAAGACTAAATCAGATTCCCTTTTTTTTAAATTTAAGCCTAAATTATTTATAGGAATCATTTTTTATTAAACTCAATTTTAATTGAGTTAATTCAAATAAATTTGATTTAGATCAAACAGCTACCGTGATTCAAAATCACTGTAGCTAGAAAAAAGGGATTCTTTACGGCTAGCTGTATTTTCCAACATGGCAGCTCTATTGGTTCATCAGTTCGCCCCATCACTGAAAACAATTAATGCGAAAGAAAGAACTACTGTAAAGTACCAGTTTAATCAGCAACGTTTTACTGATGTAATCTTCGCATCACTAAAAGAGAAACGCCTTGATTTTTTTTTAAGTAGATAAAAAGAATTTTTTTTTCTTGCTCGTTTTGACTCGATTGCAAAAAATACATTACTTTTCTAGCTTGTGTTTCCTCCTTTTGCGTTCTGATGTTGTTGCAATCTGGACAACGAATTGGAAGGCAGAACTCGAGCTCAACGCTCCGATTTGCTAAGACGAGCACCGCTTTTTGCATAAATGTTTCTTGTTCGATGATTCACCGATTTACATTTTATAAGATGCGCGTAAAAAGCTTCAAGCGACACGCGAATGGTGAATAAAAATATTTTCGGGAATATATTTACGGGAGGGTTTTTATTTAAATCATCGCAGTAAGACTGGTCCGATTTGAATCATGTTGATTTTTATTCTTCGCCGTGACCTGTGCCCTGTAGCTCAGGGCTACAGATGCAAATTGGCAGACCGCACGTACCGTGCATATATGGTAGAAACAAGACAGCGGGCTGCAACGATTCACTTCGGGGAGTCGTCCGGCCCAACAGTCTCGGCTTGCGCAGACACCCATCTAAATTATCTTTCTTCGCGTACCCCCCCCCCCCCCCCCCCCCCCATACCACTAATTATTACGAAAAGGAACGGGCGTGGCACTGAACTTGAAGGCAAAGCCATATCCATCGCAGAAAGAAGGTATATGCGTCTCGTTTTTCTTAATTACGGAGCTTATGAAACCACATGCCCGATTGCTTTATGAAGCAACCGTGGACACCGCGCTCTCTCGCTGAAATTGTCACGCACGTGCGAACAACGTCGTCGCAGGAACCGGGTCCCTAGAGAGGCCCCATGGCAGCTCGCCACCCAGATTAGAGGTGACAGCTCAAAGTTTTGGGTTACGCATAAAAAACAGAAAACTAAAACAAACAAACAAGTTTCAGAACACTAACACCTTAAACGCATCAACGTCGCGAGCGTGGCTGCAGTGTAAAGTGAACCATAAGTCAAGCTCTAAGCGACACTAAAGGGTTGCCTATAGAAATTCTACTCCGTTTCAATTTGCGACGACCGAAGCGGACGCCGTAGGAGTCGTCGGAGCAAATCCCATGCCGTGCGAGTGTCACCTGACTTTCGGGAGGGTGCACCCTCCCGACGCGAAGCGCGAGGCACGCAGTCACGTGACAAGTTCTCGGCGCTGGATTGGCTGGGATGGCTGGTAGCGTTCTCTGTGGTCCATCTTAAGGTGAAGAGGAGTATGAAAGTCGCGAGCTCGTGTCAAATACTCGACTCCCTCGCCTTCTTTTTTTTTTTTTTTCCTTTATCTACAGGTAATATATATATTCCACGAAACAAGCAGACCGAAATAAATGGTAAAAGTATAACAATATAGACGAATATGTTGCGAAACAGAAGCGTTTTAAGAAGATGGCGCGTCGCTGCGGAGCGCTGGGGTCGCGAGAGACCATTCTGGAAACGCCATTAGCGCTTAGTCATCCGACCATGATCCCGCGGCATGAAAAATTGTTCCGCGCGAACCCGGTGTCGCCGAAGGTTAATGTTCGCGGGGGAGTTACGACCCCGGTTTGTGGGGCGAAGTTGGTTGGCGGCTGGGAATCTTTACGAGGGAAGATAAATGGGCCAGTCTGCGCGCGCCAAGTTTGTATAGTTTGTATAGTTCCACTTGGGCAAAAACCTGAGCCAACGATATGCCAGCAAGCTTTAGAGTCAATCGCTGTAAACCTTGTCAGTCGGCTCTTTTACGTAATTCGCCGATCAGTGTACGGTCGACTGCAGGCATTGAAAGTGAGGACGGGAGACGGGTCGTTAAGTTGTCTCACTTCCAGTTTGAGCTTCGTACCTTCGGTAGCACTTGAACGGGTATGAGCTTGGAGCGTGAACTCACAGCTCAAGCACGGCGGAATGCAACGAGCATTTGCCGGGGGCAGGGCGTTCGAAAGGAAAGCCCTGACGTTCTCATACTTTCATTGACTGTGGACGATGTAGAGCACTCGCCTATTGCGTTTCTTTTATAGTTGGTGATGCGTTAGGACTTCACTTGAAAGAACGTCCCCGCGGGTGAACGAGCACTCGAGTAAAAGAAAACCTAACCGTTTTCATGTATTTCTCCAAACGGCAGTAACCCATCTCACCAAGCGTTCGGCGCACGCGTGACTCCGTCACATGTTTAGTTCACAGAGGCATAGCAGGAGACAGGCTGCAGTGCACAACACTGTCGATTCATGCTCTGCAGGCGCAAAGATCCAGCGAGGTCGACACTTGCAAAAATACTAAAGT